TCCTCCTTAGGCCTACATCATAGATATGGATATTCCAAGCGACATGATGGCCTCCTCTCCTAATGACTCGAGCGATACTTCCCAAAATGAGATTCAAATGGACATACAGCGAGCAGCTCTGGAGGAGTGGGAGCGAAGTTGGGCACCAGAAACGCGGGAGCCTAAGTATGCACATTTCAGTGGATTGCTTTCCTCTGCTGACCTCTCCTTCAGTTCTCAAATGAACGATGACACCAATATCCCATTGATTTACTTTTCCCGCGAGGAAGAAGAGAAAATGAGTCAAGATCTCTTTCCGTGGCCCTGGGAAACTAAGACATCCTGGCGTGCACCAATCGGGGCTACCAGCATGCATGAGAAGTTTCAGCGCACTGTAACTGGTCTCAAAAAGCAATTAGAGCAAATACAAAAGTATAGAATGAAGCGAGACAACATCACTGATTGGGCTTCAAATCTACGTTTTCTCACTGGACCGGCACCTATCGTGAGGGATGACGACACTATGAATCCAAGGCCTACCGAGCAGATGTGTGCTTGCACTTGCTTCTCATGGGAGAAAAGCTTCGAGCGCGGCAAAGGGATTCTGCCAGCCTGTTGTTCATGCGCTAGTGCAGCATCCCATTTCCTTTCGGACTCCAGGGAATTCCGCTTGATACAGGAGACACCCAACTGTCATCACTACATTGCGGTTTCATACCGATGGTGGGTTAACAATGACGATACGGCGGTGGTGGAGGGAGCACAAGACTCTGATGCCCAGAAGGCTGCAGGCTACTTGTCCACCGTCATCGATCGTGCAGTCAAGTTTTCCCTGCATCATGGCTATCAGCTCGTTTGGATCGACCAGAAGTGTATCATACAAAATGATATGGCAGATAAAACAATAGGCGTCCAGGCCATGGACCTTGTGTATGAGAATGCGTCTCTATGCTTGGCGGTACTTCAATGCAAGATCACCTCTCAGGAGCAGATAAGCGCCTTAAAGGAGGCTATGGACGTTAGTCTTCATCCAGTTTCAAACGAGAAAGAGTGGCGCAAATGGATAGAGTATCTTGACCATAAGGAGCTTATTGCCATGGCCGAGGTTGTTAAAATGATCACCGAAGATGAATATTTCAGCCGGGCCTGGATAGCTCAGGAGAATACAGCTGCGAACGCCACAATTCTGCTCTTGAAGTACGATTCCCCGTTAATACGTCCGGACTCTATGGGCAGTCTCGACGGAGAAATTCAACTGCCCCTGTGTGAGTTCCGGGTCGCATGTGCCAAGTTAGCTGGCGCTTTTCAAGGCACCATTGAAAAGAAAGTATGGTATTACGAACGAGAGGCAGCACGATATGATGAAGATGACTGGTTCGGTGACAGGCGGAATTTTTTCAGACATAACGGGTATTTCCCAAGACCACCCTCCATTGAGCAATTCAAAGCGAGCATAGAGCCAGATCAACAATGGAAGATATACTTTGACAGCTTTTTGCGCAAATGCCGGGGAAGCCATGTGGCACGCAGACATCAGGGCCGGTATCATTGTTCCGCAGCTGAAGCTGTCGAGTTTCTTTCGACAAAGCATAACTATGAGATTGCTGATCGTCTTGCCATAATTGCTAATCTCTGCAATTATGAGGTCCGTTTGGATGGCCAGAAGCTTAAGGAGCTTGGATATGATCTCGCTGTATCTCTGTTCTGCTTGGCACTGTTGAATGGAGACCTCTCGTTGGCGAGGCTGCCAGACGGAATAGAGTACAAAGACCTTGGTGTTGAGCAGTTTTCATGGGATCATATCACGCTCCAGATTAGTCACGGGCAGGATGTTCTTCACCGAACCGTAGATATCGAGACTGGCCCATCATCATTTTCATGGGCTCCCCGTCTGAGGGAAGGCTTTATGGAATCCCCACGCATATATAAGGACAATAAGCGTTATGCTCTTGAATTTCTTGGCCCGAAACCTAGGCTCCATATGTACGGGTGGTTGTGGCACAAGTATGAGACCTTTGATTTTTCTGATTTTGCTAAAATCTTTAAGAAAAGATTATCGAACAACCCAGAAGAGACTAAACACAGTTTCAGTCTGAAAGAAAAATGGGAGATGACTACCACCAACCAATTAGACTGTTTTTGGGATCTCATTCAAGAACTTCGAAATCGACAACTGAGTTCTGTTTCTGAGGCCTTATGGATTTCACTCTTAATGTTCAACCAAGGTGTGGAGCACATATCTAGCACCGCGGAACGATACACCTTACCGAATTCCCTAGATCCTAGAGATGATGACAAATTACGGCTTGCCATCCATGATATATCATTGGAAAACTTCAAAGACTTCTTGCCCCTAGGACGCGAGTCAACAGAAGATATCGTCATCCCTTATTATTGGATGATACAGAATATAATTGAAGGCAACGCAATCAATCTCTGGAAACTCGATGACACGCATCTAAGCGATTCCGACAACATGACACAATCTACATCTAGGCCACAACACGCCTTCTTCAACGATTACCACTCGAAGTCTCTCTTTACTCCTATCACACGAAGCGTTGCCCCTAGAAGTCTACCCATGACCCCCATGGATGAGCAACGACTACTCTCCTGGCCCGTGAATGTGACTGATTGTTCGGATGATGGACTTGGAGTTTGCATAAAGGTAGATCGTGTTGGCTTTGATAAAGGTCATCCGTTTAATCCCGTCGTTGGATTTTGGAACGTTAATAGGATTCCTACTAGACCTTATATACTACAGTAAGACCCTCAACTTATGAAGTCATTCCGGCATACAGGGGTTTCCGGCACGCAGGGGTGGATGTTAAACTTATTCGCTTTTGACCTTCAGCATGATGCTTTGGATTGGGAGATCACGTGATACGAGGACACAGTCTCCTCCATTTTTATAATAAAACAATTGCTCAGACCCAAGCTCTTCCTTTCTACACACAGCATAATGAACGCAGCCTCCGTCAGATCATGGATGCAGATGATTCCGTGAATGAGCGGTCCAATGACGATGAGACTGATCATTAACCTTAACCTAGTGATGATTCGAGTCTTAATATTCAGCCTGAGCGTAGCGCACAGCTGCCACACTAGAGCCAGCAGCGACTTGCCCATAGAACAATATCATTTATGCCATATGCGGACTGGAACACTGACCAAGCCTATGATGATCTATACCCTTCTTATATAACGTAGTTTATTACCGAGTAGATTATATATCACTGAGTAAATCTTTTTTAAATTTTTTTACACTTTTCTTTCTCAATATATATATTTTATTGACTAGCCGTCGGCGAAAAAAAGAATTTTCAGACTACGGATTCGTAGAAGTTTCTTTTTTCTTTCTAATTATTATAATAATTTTGAAACCCTACGAATTGTAGACTTCAAATTCTTTTCCCCCAACGACTAGTATTATTATGGTATTGTTGGTATCACCATGAGGATGGTGAAGATAATATAATACTATGATTCACACTATTGTAATATTACTTAAAGTTCTAAAAGCTAGGGCTATAATACATCTATATTTAAGTGTCGAGACATTAGTATAACGTGGTTCATATACGAGTGGATCATATCATCGAATGGATCACTTCAAAATCACACCAAATTCAAGGTTTTATTAATATTCATATTTTAATAATAAATCAATATTTTTTGAAAAAGAAAAAGCTATTAACAATAATAAAATAATCAATATTCAAAAATCAAATTTTTATATAAAAATTCTTATTATATTACTGAAACTGTCACGCTTTTCATTACAGAGAAGTTAATTTAATAATAACTCTTATATTCATTCGAATTTTCAAAATCTAATTAGATTTTTAAAATTCTTATAGATTTAAATATTATATAACGTAGTTTATCACCAGGTCGCCAATATCACCAAGTCGTCATTTTTTTTTACATACAAAATTCGTTTATACACAACCATGCACTTTCTTTATTTATAAATATAATTTGAAAAACTTTTCTAAAAATTATTATTCTTTAGATAAATAATATAAATTTCTAATTGTTTATTAGAAAATCGATTTTATATAAAAATTATTATAAAAATAGTATTTTTGTAATACAAATCGTAACAATTTCGATTGTTTTTGGAATATAATATAATTTTTTATAATTTTTGAATATCTAAATTTTTATTATTATTAAATATCTTTTTCTTTTTAAGAAATAATAATTAATTATTAAAATATGAATATTAAGAAAAGACTAATTTTGATGTATAATAGTAAATGACAACTCGATGATATTAGCGACCCGGTGATAAACCACGTTAGCAGGTCTTTGAGATTTTATATTAATAAATAAGGGAAGTGTACGGTTACGCACAGACGAATTTTGTATGTAAAATGGAGTGATCTATTCGGTGATATGATCCACTCGTATATGAACCACGTTAAGTGTTAATGTAAGAGTTATGGCCTCAGCTTATCGCACACCACCTAATTTCGTAACAAAATCCCTACAAAAAAGCTGTTTTTTCATATAAATTAATTTTTTTAATTATTTCATTAAATATTGAATCATTGATTTGAAAATTTGATATATAAAAGATATTAATATTTTAAATTTAAAAAAATGAATAAAATATTTTTAATAATTTTTTTGAAAAAATTATTAACTTTTGAAATTGAAATTTTTTAAAAATTATTATGTATAACACTTTTGTTATACAAAAAAATCGATTTTTTTGAAAATTTTGAAAGTTTTGATTTCAAAGATCTATAATTTCTTTAAAAAAACTATTAAAAATATTCTATTCATTTTTTTAAATTATTTTATTAAATTACTATTCTAAATATCTATTTAAAAAATTCATTTCATTTTTTGATTGAAATAATATATAATTCAAAAGCTGAAGAAATGAGGGTTTTTGGTGTGTTTTTGCTTAGTGTGCAATAAGCTGAGGCTACAACTCTTAATTATATGATTCCTGTCCCGATACTAGCAACTCTTTAAAGTTATCAGATTATATCCTTTTAGCTAATACTTCCTTGTTTATATAATTATTTATTTTTCTAATTTCTTTCAATTTACTTTATAATCTTAATCTTTATAATATTATTATTAATCAGGTTTTTAAGGGCTTAATATAATTTTGATTTAGTTATTGTGTTAGCTAAATTAGATTTTCTATTAATTTATTTGATCTCTATAATCTTGTATTTCTTATATATCTTCTGGATTGTTATTATATTAATTATTAGTTTTTTTTTGTTAATAGTTTTAAGTTTTGTAAGATAGTTGTAAAATGATTTAGAATTGATGTATATAACTAATAGGATTTTATAATTTGGGAAAATCTTATTGATAATGTTTTTGATTGCTGCATTAATATCAAAGTTTAAAATCATACTGTAGAGTTCTGATGCTAGTATTTTTTTTGTAATTTTTTTGTATTTAATGGATAATTAGTGGATGATATTAGTTTTATTGTATTTATTTATTAAGATAATAATATATTCAATCTGGGAGGATAAATCTTTATTGTTAACAAAAAATATATTAATAAATATAATCAATTTGAGGGAGTTTATATTAAATGGAATAAACTGTAATTCTCTTTCCAAATTATTAATTTATTATTGAATATATTTATTAAGGAAATTGGTATTTTCTTTTTTTGAGTTAATAGTTTATGTAGTATAAGATAAATCGAAAGTTGTTTTTGGTTGGTATATGATTGTAATATATACTTTTTGAGTATACTATGTAATATATTAGTTTTTTGTTATTACTAACTTTTTTAGTTTTTTGTGTGTGCTGTGTATATTAGATAGTTTTAATTTAATTAAATGTAAGTTTTTGTATTGCTTTTTTTAATTGAGATAGATTATATTATTATTTTGTTAAGTAATTAAACTGTTATTGAACTTGAGTGGTGTATTTGATATAAATATTTCATATTCTTTTGCTATAAACTTAATATTATAGAATTCTTTTTGCTTATAATTTATAAATTTATTAATAATAATAATAAATATATTATCTATTTATAATTCGATAATACTAAATATTGTATTATTTTTAACTATATATAAAAATATAGGTTATAAATTGATTGTTCCATTTTAAGGGTATTGGTGTAATTTGTAGTAAATCTAAATATAGAATATTATTCTCTTTATAATATATAATGAAAAGCTTTTAACTTATAGCTTTTATATTTAGTTAATATTAATATTTATATTTATGTTTCTTTAATTTTTAATATATTTATGAAATACTTAAGTTATTGTAACTTTGTCTATTATTTATGTATTTATTAAATATAAATTTAAATATTTGAATCTATAGGAAAATCGATTTTAATATATTAATTAAAATAAATAAATCTATTCTTGAATTATTTAAAAATAGAAATATAGTTTTATTCTCTTTATTATTATATTCTAATTATTATACTTATTCTTTATATTTAATTATATTACCTTACTTCTATTATTTCATTTAATTATTAACTATTATTATCTTAGAATATATTATATTTATTATAAAACTCATTTTATTAAAATTATAAAAATTATTATTTAATATACTATATTTCGCTTACATATTTATAATTAGTTGAAATTATTTTTTAATAAGTTTAGAATTTTTATAAAAAATCTTTTGAAAATTATAAAGAAAATATAACATGGTTTATCATCAAGTAAATCATATCATCGAGTGGATCACTTTCACCTCAATTTACTACTTCAAACTCATATTATTCAACAATAATTAAATCAATTAATTAAAATTATCAAGATTCTAATAATCTAAAATCTCTTATATTATTTTAATAGATTTTTATATTATAATCTATTTTTTCATATTTATTATAATATCAATTAAAAAAATATTTCTCTATTAGAATTCCTCTCTTTTTGATATTTATTATATTAAATCTAAATATCAATTTTTTATTAAAATAATATATTTATAATTTTCTATTTAATAAATACTTCTTTTTAATATAATTAAGTTTTTTATATATATCAATATTTACTTAATAACTTATTTGCTTTTCAAAATATATAAATCTTTATATTTAAAAATATATTCTTATAAACTAATCTCTTTATCTTTTTAATTAAAGTTAATATAATTTCAAATATAAATATAGAAAAGTTTATTAATAACGATTTATTCGAGATTTAATTAATATTAATTAAAAAGCTTTTATAGGATATAAGAAATTCAAGAAATTTAGAGATTTGAATTAATAAAAAAAAGGAATAAATATATATTCAAATATCTAATTTTGAAATTATATTTTAGAATTAAAAAATATTAATTCTATTTTTTAAAATCTAGATTTATATTCTGATTAATAATTAATTATTAATACATAATTTTAAAGTTATAAGGAATTGATTTTTAAATAAATTAATAGATATTTTATAATTATTTAATTTGAATATTATATTCTTATTTTAATTTATTAAATATTTAAATTAAATAATTAAATTGAATAATTTGAATAATAAATATAATATATAATATTATTCTTCTTATAATATAATTAAAAAGCTATAATTTATAGTTTTTATATTTATTCAATATTAGTATTTAATATTTTTTATTTTATAGTTTCTTATATATTATTGAATATTTTAATTATTTTATTCTATTTTATTATTTATTCATTTATTACTAATAGATTTAACAATTTAATCTATAGAAAAATCAATTTCTATATATTAATTAAAAAATATTTATTTTTAAATTATTAAAAATAAAGATATAATTTCC